ACATAAAGAATTTGAGATACATAAAAATCTGGCTTGTAGCCTCTTTTTGTTATTTATTTAAATTATTGTTATTTAAAATTATTCTTATTATTATTACTATTATTTCTTGGATTTATTATAGAAGCAGGTGAACGTTCATAATAGGCTTGTTTAATTAAAAATATGAAATATAATAAGAAATATAAAATAGAATTACAACCATATATGTATAAATATACAGCAGGATGCTCGTGTAGGACGTTTGTAGTTTCTTCTAACTTTCTCGAGTTTTTCATGCTCGAGTTAGCGCCGTGTCCGTTCGCGCCCGTAGTACCTAAAGCTCTGTGCTTCGTATGTGTACACGCCCCCGAGGTAAAGAACGATATATAGAAAGAAGAAATAACTCCGCGCGATAATTCAGGGGTCTCAACCCTCCCGCCTAGCGCCTCGGTGCTTCCTGTCCTCGTGAGAGTAATGCCGGCGGGCTCGGGTACGACCGAAAAAAGCGTCCTGTTTTCTCCCTTGTCTTTCGCTCTTTCTTTTTCTCCAGCTCGCTCGTGCTATCCTATTAAAGTGCGATCTTGCGAATCTCAGCGACTCGGCTTGACGCGACTTTCAACCGGTCGCGTCCCGTCGCGTCGAGTCGCACTGCCGTCATGAATGAGGATGAAAGGTTGTTTTACGGTATTATAAGGAAGATAGCGATACGAATAAATGACGCGGTGGTAACGAATGATGCCTTGGTGATATTTTAATCGTCTATTCCCTTCACACCTCTCTTTTGTACCCCCGCCAACTTCCTTCTGCGCGCGCCCTTCTTTCGCAGCGTTTCCGGGATCAAGATTCACGAGACGAGGGAGCAAAGCCAGGGGTAGGCGAGAAAAGAAAAGTGACAAAGGAGAACTAGGGGGAGCGCGCAAGCAGAGTGCACGCGGGTGGGAAAGATAAATTGCGGGCGGTAGATGTACCGCCATAAAGAGCGTGCTGACCGGTCCATGACGCTCCCGCGGCGACTCCATGTTTAAGCAGCAAATCGCGCATCGGAGATTCATGAATGCGCGGTGCCAAGTGCCTTTTGATACCCGCATCTACACGTCGTAGACGAATAAAATTCCTGTATATAGTAGTTTCCATCGTTCGGAAGTTGGTATTAGTATGGAAACGCGGATCATACTTTTTAACACGCTTTTCCCAACTGCCTGCGTTTTTACGCGAGTTTTATATTTTGAAACGTACAGATAAGAGAATATTACTCTCTTCCCCTTAACTTTTATACTGTTATTCTCAAATCTTTGCACGATCGACGCCAGTCGTCTCTGAGCAAGTGCGGGAACTTTCTGCGTATCTGTATAGAAATCCGCTCGGAAATTCGCGCACGCGTAAATCCGAACAGAATTATCCGCTCTAATCTAAAGCCTACACAGCGAACTTTAGAATCCCATCGCGCGCAAGACATCCGGCGAAAGTTTGACTGCATCTAAGAATAGTCGCGCCCCAATTAATCTCGAAGTACATTTTAGATGTTCGCACTTCATTAAACGTGTAATCGCTCGATTAATGAGATGTACGAGATACCGCGGCGTGAATTGCGGTTAAGTTTCGGTGAGGTAATAGAGCTGTTAATCCCGAAAGTGGTGTAAGTTAAGTTTCAGAGAAAGACGAATCAAGATGCGGCATTTATTGATGATATACTTATTTTAATGAAATTTTCTAAATTTATCGGGTATGTGTTAGAAATGAATGACTCAATTTAATACCGTATAATTTGTTGTCGCGAAATCTCCTAATTCTGTAGAAACCTTCAAAACTTTAATCATCCTTAAAAAATATATCCTAAATAATTACTAGGAAGAATTAAAATTGTTTTGCTTTAGATTAATAAACAAAATAATTAATTAATTTCTATAATATTGCGTCTTAGAAAAGACCCTCTTTCATCAAAATTAACGCTTGTCTTTAACGTTGTTTTTCGGAATAATATGTTCGATTAATCGAAAAATGATGTTCGAAAAATGAAATACTTGAGGAATGGAGCTAGTAACGTTTTAGTTCATACTATTGTATGTTGAAATATCTGCTCATTTCTAACTAAAATTGCCGAAGTTGTACAAAAGGGAGCAATATTGGATTCAATAGTATACTGTGTATGGATCAATGGCATTATTCATTTTATCATATCATTTAATAATATTTTACACGTTATTTGCATCAAAATTATTTTTTTATCTATAACTACAGATATTCTAACACTCTGAGATTTATGTCGATTTGTAACAAATGAATCCGTTGTAATGGTTCATTATAAGCCGCAGCAATGCGCTTGATGTACTTGCTGTAACAAAGCATTTTCAATGGCATCGGGAAAATTAGGTCACTCGGTCTATGATCTATGGTTTCTAGCATGGGATACATTATGCCGATCTGGTTCGCTTCCTGCGAATATCGTGCTATATATCGTGCTTTAGTGTTTTCGAAACGAGGCCTTGCGCGAGCGATCAGCATACGTCATTACGCAGTTCGCAACGCCTGCGGGCAACGCAGTCCGTGCTGTTGAGGATCAATTTCGGGAAGCAAGGAACAATATAGATACCATTTCCACGACGTATCTTGCGGATGTTTGATAGCAGATACAGAATAAACCGTATTTTTTCCGTGAAGAATTATGACAATAGAGAAAGAGTTACATTCGCAATTTTTTAACTCTTCCGGCAGAATTGGAATGCAAAACTCTCCCGCTATATGAATGTATGCTCTATCTCGCTTCAACGATATTAGCAACATAATCGGATTTTGCTGCTTTAATAAATTAAAATGCCATATTTGTTGCGTTATTATTTCATAATAAATTACATAAAATATAATTTTATAATATAACTTCATATTTTATAGAATTTGTTAGTATAATAACGAAGCAAACTATGCCATTTTAATTTATTTACACAATGGAAATAAACAGAACAACATAATATAACAATATTATAAATGTAAACACTCGCATAACGCAAAGTAAAAGAGCAACTATAATTTCGTTTTAAAAAATAATTCTAGGGGAGTCACTAGTATAGTTAAGGGCTTTAAAAGAGTACACGATACCAACAAAACATTTATACCTTTCTTATTTCCTTTTTTGTTTCATAATAATTATTTTATTATTGGTTGTTTGTCGAGCGTCTTAAATAGTATACAAAGTGAATTTGTGCATGTTGCTTGCCATTCCCTTACTTCAAAGGTAACACAACTAAAAAAATGTGATTTTCGAGTTATTTACTATGCATAAGATACATATAAGTAAAGATTACTTTATTAAAATACTCTATTAAAATAAAAAATTAAGTGATCTAATTTCACATAATCCTTCCACTAAATAGTAAATGTATCGTTCTAAAGATTTTCAAACAAATCCTAATACTTTCTATAAAGATAACATATTTTTAGAGTTTTAGTAGAATTGTGTTGTTTTTGTAAATAAAAAAGAGAGTCTTCTATAGAGAACATTTAGAATTACGCCAATTTTGATCAAAGAAGGTGATTAAAGAAGTTATTTTATTTTTAATTTAGTCATTTTAGTTGATCAAGATAAATATAAACTGTTGGTGATATTTCAAGTTATGTCGCATTTGATAAATTATTCCAAATTTGTTGTAATTATTTTATAGGAGATTAAAATCGTCACAGCTAAAAAAGAGTGCTTTTAAAAGTTATGAAACGAAAATGATAGAAATGATGACTTGATTATATTTTTTAGAGTATATTCCTTTTGCCGCTATTACTTAACTAATCAATAATTTTCTGTTTAGTTAAAAAAATAGTTTTCTTCCTTTTTTGAAAAATTTAATTTATTGAGCTGCATGTGTCACTTTTGAAGTAAAGGAACAATTTCAATTATAATAAAATCGGAGAACAATACAAGTAGGTACCAACATAAATCAATTAAGTAAATCTATTTTCAGTCAAAGCGGATCTTAGTGCTTAAATATTTCAAAGTGAATTTATATACATGTCCAATTCTGTAAATCACAGGAGATCTAAGTTGCTCGGTTAAGGTAATATTTTTGCATCAAATTAAATTATTTATAGTTCTCAAGCTACTTAAATTATTAGTATCAATTATTAATATTCTTTTAAGATGTATTAGTATTCAAAATTATAGTATCAAAATTATTAAATCACTTGTCAATTAACATTCTATATATTCTATTCTATGTGTTACTATTCTAATTCTGTTCGTGACTGCATTTCAAGGTCGAAAAAGATTTCGGCGCGCAATTTGTAGACTTAGATATGTTTATAATAAATTCGTTCCCGTTAAAATATTTAAACACTGAAATCTTATTCACTTTAATCGAAAATAAAGTTATTTCTAGCTCCTAATCGATTTATTCTCGTCTAATACGAATTATAATTGTTCCAGTATAAGACGAGATACATGTAGGCATCTCGTTTTAATTGTGTACTGTGAATACAAGACTAGAATTTAGCGAAGGTAGATTCGAGGACACGTATCATCTTCGCAAATTGAGATTCATGCGATCAACCTACCTACGTGTCCGAGCAGCGAAGGAGCGGCGTCCTATGGATTTCGCAAGGCCGTGCGACAACGGCCAACAATGTCCTTAATGCTAGTCGAATAATGATACGCGTAACAAACCGTATTCATTCAATGGAAAAAAAAAAACAACTTTCGGCTGACAAATTGAATCCGCAGGTCTCGGGGCAGGCGGCCGTCCCCACCGCGTGCGGAAGGAGGTGCGGAATAAAATCGCGGGTTTTCCGAAAGGAGGGGAAGGGGGAGAAGGGGAGAGACCTGTCCGCGTGTGTGCGTGGCCCGGTCGCGAGGTGTGCGGGCCGTTGGAGAAGCGAGCGTCGGGAGGGAAGACGAGAGAAAACGAGATCGCGCGCGGCTTCCCGGTGGAAACGGGATAAACCCACGCGAGACGCAGAGAAGAGCGCGAAGGAGCGAAGAGCTCACTTCCCTGCAGGAAGGGCGGGAGAGGAAGTGGAAGCTGCGAGATCGTCGGCGCGCCGATGGTGGGGATAAAAGGGCGGTCGCGCAGGCGCGACTCGCGACAGAACTGCTTCGCGCGGCGACGCTCAGTCTCGTCCGTTGCAATCCAGTGCAGATATACGTGCAATTACCCTGTCAACAGTGCTTAAAATCTTTGGTTCGTGCTTGTGCTGCGTTTCATCAGCACACACGGTGATCGATAACGCACACCGACGGAATCTGTCGTCGATCGCCGACGTGTCGTGATCGACGTGCGTGAGGACGAAGAAAAAAAAATAAAAAAATAAAAGTAAAAGAGTCACACTACGGGAGAAAGTTTCGGAAGCACGCGGCGCGCGCGAAGGGATAAATCTGACGTGATTTGAATTTCCAGTATCAATCATCGCGAAAGAGTGAAGGGACCGTTCGGAGTGAAGTTTGACGCGAGTCTTTCGGACGGTGAATCCTCGATACCTCGACGCGCATCAACGGCGTCAGTCCGGCTGGAACGCGCGAGACGGGTGGTAGCGTCGAAGACGTCATTCAGGTGCGAGCGAGTGGTACGAATCAACGAGAGAAAAAGGAGAAAAGAGCGTGCCGTGTGCGACAGCGAGCAAATGTAGTGCCGGGTAATTTCACCTAGTTGCGTTCACGCGACCTAACTGCCGGCGTGAGTGGTGGATCGTCAGTGTGTCTGTGAACCGCGAGTCCGCGAGTGGTTTGGTCACCGAGGGACCGCTGAAGCTTCCGTACACGCCGTCGAGATGAAGACTTGCCACCTGTGGCTAGAAGCGGCCGTCGCTCTCCTGGCGATAGCAGGTAAGTGACCTGCCTGTATTGGAACGAGATATTGAAGAACATTCAGGATATTGAAAAACAATTTGTCCCTCGTATCTTTTACCTTTCTTATACGTACGGAGGTGTTTGTGTGTATATGTGTATGTGTGTGGTGTACGTGTATACGTCGTGTGCGATAACCCCCTTAATTAAATGCTTGAAATTGAGCTATTCATTAAGGCTTTACATCGATAATTTAGATGTTTTGATTTTCGCACTAAAGAAGGACGCAAATTCTTGTTGTAAGTAAAAAAAAAAAAAGTTTATCTCAGAGAGAGATCTGATTCCACCAATGTAAGATTAATTTTAATCTCGGTTTAATTTGCTCGGTTTATCTTTTTCTAATTCCTAGAATTGGAAAATTTTATAATTGTAAGAATTAGAAAATTCTCATTTTGAAATAAAAAATTTTTAGGATTCTAGAATTAGAAAATTCTAATTCTGATTCTTAGAATTAGAAAAAGATAAAGAGAAAACCGAAATTAAAATTAATCTTCATTGGTGGAATCAGATCTCTCTCTGAGATAAACTCTTTTTTTTTTTTTACTTACAACAAGAATTTGCGTCCTTCTTTAGTGCGAAAATCAAAACATCTAAATTATCGATGTAAAGTTTCGTCGTCTAGTGATACACGTTCCCGGATATGATTGGCTGTACTTAGCAGAAAAAACAGCTTTGCGACTGTTGCAAAATTGTTTAATGATTGATCTAGCTCTGTTTCTCACTGGATTTATAATAAATGTATAAACCAACATTTATGCTCATTTTTACCAATGTAGATTAATTTTATTCTCTTTCAACTAATTCTTTATCTTTGTTTAATTTTGAGAATTGCAAAAAGATGAAAAGCAAGTTGAATTGAGATTAAAGTTAATCTGTATTGGTAGAAACGGATATTGAAGAATTTTAAAACGGTTGCTTTTTCTACTGAACACAGCCGATAAAAGATTGCGTAAGAAACTTGCTTTCGCGTAACCGCGCAACGAAATATATTCCGTAATGTTTAAATAAAGAGAATAAATGTAATTTTCAAAGTCTCCTAATTACATATATTGTATCTTCGATGGATATCGTGAATTATAACATATTTAAATCATTTTATAATCTGCAATATACATATAATTTCGCAAAACAATAAGAGCTTTCTGTCACACCCTCTCGGTATATTTCTGTGAAGTGGGATTATCAAAAATTTTATTCTAGTCAATTTTAATGATATCAAAAGAGCTGATGTGAAATGAAATATATTAGGAATTGATAGGAATTCATCGAATTTCGTCAATAAAACTGACGACCATGTTAAAGGAATATGTTATAAAATAGCACTTTTCAAAGAAAAAAAATTGCTTTAGAAATCGCGAAGAAACATTATTAAAGTCCGTTATAAAACTGCATTTCCTCTGTACAAAAATGTTCATTGTCATGAGGACATAATAAATACTTTCTTTTTCCCTTTCAGGGCGGCAGCTCGCCAAAAAGTCGCGGTGCTTCGCGCTTTTAGACTCATGGCTGGTTAGAATTGAAAAACGAGGTGACAATTGTCACCCCATAATGCATGTGTAAAAGTTCCCTTCGTAAAATAGCTCCCCCGCTGGTTACATCGTCGCGTTTCAACGCTCATCGCGCCGCACGACGTCAGAGGCAAAGACAACTCCGTGACTGAACCACGCGCGAAAACGTAGTCGACGATGACGACTCATTCTGCGAATAACACATTTTTTTATACATTTCTTTCACAATATTTTCCGTTGTCGGCGAGTAGGAAAATGATTCGGATAACAAATCGTGATGGAGATAATTATTATAACGAATTCGCGTCTTTCATCGCGTGAATGCAGTATGTCGTAGAACTGAAATCAGGGAATTGTGTCAGAGAAATTGAAAATGGTCCGGAAAATCAGCGAAAAATCAGAAAATTTTCTAGAAAATTAAAATTCTTGACTTTAAAGAATTTAAAAATTCGATATACATTACCTACCAGTTTTTAAATATTATCAACTTAATAATTAAAAATACAAGCAGCGTTAGCAGCATTAATAGTAATATTAAATTGATCTTTCAACAAATCATCATTTAACTGTTTTCAAACAACACGAAAATATAATTTTAAAATATTACTGAAAATAACAATTATTAAAAGTTAAGGAAAATCGCAAAATTTTGTCCGAAAATCAGGGAAAAGTTATGGAATTTTAGAGGAGGAAGAATTTGTGACAACGTTGTAATAGGATTACAAAGGTGCATTAGATTTAATATGTTATTGTGTTCCATATTTTGAAAAAAAATCACGCTTGTTCGTTTATAACAACAAGATAATCACGAATCACAAGATAATCACGTTTATAACAACAAGATAATTTAAATTTACGTGTGAGCGAAGTTCTATCCCCAAAAACAACGATTTTATCTTCCAAAAGGACATGCCAATTAGAGCAACTTGGGAAAAAGAGTTGATCTTTTCACTCTGTGATCTACAAAGCTATTTTTTTTGTTTACCAAAATATAAATTTGCTACAATTACGGTATATTGTTTATACCTCAAAATAACAGTCACATGTTAACTGACACGAAATAATGGTAGAACAAATTGATAGCATGAAGTTTGAATCGATTGTTTTTTGAAGTTTTTCCATTAGCAATCCTGTTTACATGTGCTAGTCTTTTAGCAATAAAGATATTTACTTTTTATTTTCATATCGTATTGCATTTATAGTGCATTTTGCGTGCGAAATTGTTTCAATTACAAAGATTAGTGCTATGAGTTTCTAAAGAAAACTTGCGCAATTATCATATTTTGGGATTACTTTTCTCATAAAGGGTCATATTCTGTATGCAAAGAAATAGCTTCACAAATTTTCTTCCTTTTTTCTTAAATTAAATCTTTTGTAATATTAATACTTATAAGATAAAAAAATAGAAAATTATATTGCTATGCGAAAGAAATTTTAATTTGAAGTCAGTAATGAACATGTGTTTGTTTGTTATGTGTATGATTTGTGCGTACTTTAATAAGTTATAAAAGTATGTTTCTATATTTTGAAGTTATTTTTTTTGATGATGTTCACGAAAGATTTTCTTACGCTTTTATCGTACATCTTTTATTCATGCCCAGGAACGTTATCACGACGAATTCGCACCGATAATTCAGACGTTTTGCTGTTAAAGAAGAATAAGTTCTTGCCGTAAAGACAGAGAAAGGGAGAGAGAGAGAGAGAGAGAGAGAGAGAGAGAGAGAGAGAGAGAGAGAGAGAGAGAGAGAGAGA